AGCGATTCTCTGGATAAACATGGTTTCACGTTGAACTCAGAGGAAGTGACATCATCACACAGGCAGGGTCACCAGGCCACTTCACCCGGACACAACATGAAGAAGTGTTGGTGTTTGTTTGTTGTTGAATTCCGTTCAGTAATGCATGTTTAAGTGTAACATGTTTCCAGCGTCTCCTCGGTGCTGGAAACATGTATAAAAGTGTGTGTGTGTCTGTAGTACGGACAGTCAGACAGTTACCGCGTTGCCACCACACAGGACAAAGATGACCGATCCCCCAAGAAGAAGAAGGGGGGCACCAAAGACATGGACGACCTGAAGAAGGAGGTGCCTATTGTAAGTACCGCCCACATCTGTCACCTGGTGAAGTGAATGTTTTTGACCAATGAAAAGCTGTGAAAATGTTGAAGAATCTTCAACGTGACGTTTGACTGGATCTGCGTCGAACAGAAGAGAAACGTAATGTTTTACTAAAGCAGACAATTTGGTCAGTGAAACACCAGTAACAGACTGCAGGGGGCGCCATACGTGGCTGCTCTGATTCTCTAGTCTTTCAGGTGAACTGCATGCACAAAGTTAAATCTTTAATTCATTTGACGACATTCTTCTTAAACCAATCACAGACAATGATTCAACATTTTTAAAACTATTTTCTAATTTATTTTTTTTTTACAATATTTTTTTTCAGACGGAACACAAGATGTCTGTGGAGGAAGTGAGCCGAAAATTTCAGACCGACATCGTCCAGGTGAGGTCGACAGGTTCTCTCTGCGGCTGCATCGTACGGCGTTGTTTAACCACGTGACTGACAGCACTTCTCTCTCTCACCACCAGGGGCTGACCAACGCCAGGGCTGCAGAGTTTCTGCTGAGGGATGGTCCAAACGCTCTCACCCCTCCCCCCACCACTCCAGAGTGGGTCAAGTTCTGTCGTCAGCTGTTTGGTGGCTTCTCCGTCTTGTTGTGGACCGGCGCCATCCTCTGCTTCCTGGCCTACGCCATTCAGGCCGCCACGGAAGACGATCCCGCTGGAGACAACGTGAGCAGGACACACACACACACACACACACACACAGAGAGAGTGTATTATTTGCAGCTGTATGTGTTGACAAGAATCTGTTGGTACGATCCTGGAGGCAGGACTTCAGATGTAGAGGTGAAATATTTCAGTGTAGGATGTTCTCTCACCCCCCGTAAACCTGTCCCTCCCCCTCAGTTGTACCTGGGAATCGTCCTCACCGCCGTCGTCGTCATCACCGGCTGCTTCTCCTACTTCCAAGAAGCCAAGAGTTCCAAAATCATGGAGTCCTTCAAGAACATGGTTCCTCAGGTGAACATTTCATTTCTCAACAGTCGGACTGAGTCACAGTCACAGACGATGAAGATGATGAAGATGATGAAGATGATCTCACCATGATCTCACCATGTTAGGGTTGTGTGTGTGTGTGTGTGTGTGTCTGCAGAAAGCCCTGGTGATCCGTGAAGGTGAGAAGGTCCAGATCAACGCTGAGGAGGTGGTGGCCGGTGATCTGATTGAAGTGAAGGGCGGAGACAGGATTCCCGCCGACATCAGGGTGGTGTCAGCTCACGGCTGCAAGGTGAACGCACCAACACGCACACACGCGCCGATGATCGGTGATCAACAGGACTGATCGGACCAGCGAGTCTGGTCTGGTCGCTGGTTTGTTCAGGGGATTCTGGGTATTTGTTTCACTGTGGTTTACGTTCAGGTGGACAACTCCTCCCTGACCGGGGAGTCTGAACCCCAGAGCAGGTCACCTGACTGTACCCACGACAACCCCCTGGAGACCAGGAACGTCGCCTTCTTCTCCACCAACTGTGTTGAAGGTAGAACCGCAGTATGATGTCATCGTGACATCACAGTGGCTGACACAGACTCCTGATCTGGAACCTTCTCTTCGACCCAGGTACCGCACGTGGCATCGTCATCTGCACCGGAGACCGCACCGTCATGGGCCGCATCGCCACTCTGACCTCAGGGCTGGAGACGGGCAAGACCCCCATCGCCAAGGAGATCGAGCACTTCATCCACATCATCACGGGAGTGGCCGTCTTCCTGGGCATCACCTTCTTCGTCCTGGCCCTGGTCCTGGGCTACAGCTGGCTGGAGGCCGTCATCTTCCTCATCGGCATCATCGTGGCCAACGTGCCTGAGGGGCTGCTGGCCACTGTCACTGTGAGTACTGCACCGAGTACTGCACTGAGTACTTCACTGAGTACTTCACGTTGTAGTATTATATAGTTAGATATACTTGCAGTATTGTGTAGTAATATATTTCTCCTGTGGTATTTGTTTAGTCTTGAGTTCAAAAACTCAAAAAAAGTAATGTAATCCCTGAAGACTGTGAGACACCTACTGGACAGAGACGGGACTACAGTGGATGATGAAAACATTTAAAAACTCCCACTGATAATGAAACCATGCATTAACATGTACTGTAGGTTAGGTGAGTATTAAGTACTCTGTAAACTTTTAAAGTACTTTATACTAGGTTTAAAAAGTGGAGTTACCTGGGGGCGGGGGGGGGAGGGGAGGGGTCTTATGACCTGTGCTCGATTAGTTTAGTAACACTAACTAGTTAGGAACAATCAATCATGGAGAATTCACTATAGAGTAACACTGCCCTCCAGTGGCGCCTAGCTGAAAGAACCCGGCCGGCTGCCGTGAGTCCTCTGTGTAAAAATAGCCCCCGGTAGCCCGGGGTCAGGAGTTCCATTGACCTCCAGCAGGTGTGATCATGGTCCACGCTCCGTCTGCAGGTGTGTCTGACCCTGACCGCCAAACGTATGGCCAAGAAGAACTGTCTGGTGAAGAACCTGGAAGCTGTGGAAACCCTGGGCTCCACCTCCACCATCTGCTCCGACAAGACGGGCACCCTGACCCAGAACAGGATGACCGTGGCCCACATGTGGTTTGACAACCAGATCCTCGAGGCCGACACCACCGAGGACCAGTCTGGTCAGTCACTGTCAGGACTCCTCGTCGTCTTCGTCGTCTTCTTCCTTCACAGCCGTGCCCTGATGACCGGCGCCCTCTTGTTTCCACTCCAGGTGCTGCGTTCGACAAGACGTCGGTGACGTGGCTGTCCCTGGCACGCGTGGCCGCTCTGTGCAACCGCGCGCAGTTCAAAGCTGGACAGGACTCCGTGACCATCCTGAAGCGTGACGTCGCCGGCGACGCCTCAGAGTCGGCGCTGTTGAAGTGCATCGAGCTGAGCTGCGGCTCGGTCCGAATGATGAGGGACAGGAACAAGAAGGTGGCTGAGATCCCCTTCAACTCCACCAACAAGTACCAGGTGAGTGTGTGTCTGTGTCTGTGTCTGAGTCTGTGTCTGTGTCTGTGTCTGTGTGTGTCTGTGTCCATCAGATACTGCAGTTTGTGTTATATATGATGATAGTTTGGTGAGGAATTCTGGGACGTTCTGTCTCTTTCTTTAGCTCTCAGTGCACGAGACCGAGGACCCCAACGACAACCGTTACCTGCTGGTGATGAAGGGCGCTCCGGAGAGGATCCTGGAACGCTGCTCCACCATCCTGCTGCAGGGCAAGGAGCAGCCAATGGACGAAGAGCTGAAGGATTCGTTCCAGAACGCTTACATGGAACTGGGAGGACTGGGAGAGAGAGTACTGGGTGAGGAGAGAGAGAACACGGCATGAAAATGTGGAGTTGAGGATCAGGAGACGTGAGGACGCAGTGTCACTGTCAGTGTCAGTGTTACTATATGACGTCATCAGGAACAGGTCTTCTCTGTGGAGGCAGCCATGTTTGGTCACCATGGTTACATGGTCACGTCAGTCCACACTAGTCAAACTAAACGAAATTTGGACCTCAATTGCAATATGTTCCTTCACCACTAGATGTCGCGAATTCCACACAGTTTATCTTTATGTGGCTCTGAGACCACGTGACGTACATGTCCAATAAAAGCTGACTGTACACATAACGTTCACTCCTGAAGCCGACGCTACTTGCCATCTAGTGTCGACTGTCGGTACTGCGCCACACAGATGTGACAGAACAAAGAACGGTCAGTTGTTTTATGTAATGTTAAAAAACACTGACTTGATGACCACAACATTGTAATAATCCTGGTCCATATGACGTCATTACAGTTTCCTCTTTACACTCAGACTGTGATTATTTCATGGATTTAATGTGTTTTTATCTTTACAGAAGAATCAGTGAGTTTCAGTTTTATTTCTGTTGGAGTAGTAAACGCAGTACTGTGAGTACTCTGTGTCAGTGATGTACACGGCCTCTAACACGTCACGTGTTTCATCGTCCGTCAGGTTTCTGCCACCTGATGCTTCCAGAGGATCAGTATCCAAAGGGTTTCGCCTTTGACACAGATGACGTCAACTTCCAGACGGACAACCTGTGTTTCGTGGGACTCATGTCCATGATCGACCCACCCCGCGCCGCCGTGCCCGACGCCGTGGGCAAATGTCGATCAGCTGGAATCAAGGTGAGGCTGAGTCACGTGACCGTGTCTTTACTCTGCCTGAACCAGGAACGCGTGCGTCATGTGTGTCCATCCTGTCGTCTCAGGTCATCATGGTCACAGGAGATCATCCAATCACTGCCAAGGCCATCGCAAAGGGCGTGGGCATCATCTCAGAAGGCAATGAAACGGTGGAGGACATCGCAGCTCGTCTCAATATACCTGTCAGTCAGGTGAACCCCAGGTACAGGCCGTTCACACAGAAACACTGACGCAGACGCGGTGAACGCAGCCATGACGTATGTTTCAACGTCTGTGTTCAGGGACGCCAAGGCCTGTGTGATCCACGGTACCGACCTGAAAGATCTGTCCCAGGATCAGATGGACGACATCCTGAGGAATCACACTGAGATTGTGTTTGCCAGAACCTCCCCACAACAGAAACTCATCATTGTGGAGGGATGTCAGAGACAGGTCGGAAAAAAGTTTGAGAATTTTTTATTTCACCATTATTTATAAAAAAGTTTTAATATGAATTATCAGCAGATTTATATGTCACCACAGAGCAAAAAGGCTTTCGAATTATGGTTTCAAGTAATGTAAGTGCCATACACTCCTACGACAGCAGATGGCGCCATTTACCTTTGTAAGAAGTGTCCCTCAGCGTCACGTCGAACAAAACAAAAGACTTGTTCATACTTAGACATTTGTATAGAAACATTTAATTTTTAATGGTTTTAATTTTTTTATAAATTTCTCGTAGGTTCGGACATTATTTTTCACATTAATTATTTCACTCTAAATAAAATAAATATTCAAATGAATAGAATTCAAACGAATTAGAAATTGACTTTTTTTTTAAAGAAAGATGAACCCCCCCCTCACCTCCTCACCCGCTCCATCTGTGTCTCTGACAGGGCGCCATCGTGGCCGTGACAGGTGACGGTGTGAACGACTCTCCTGCCCTGAAAAAAGCCGACATCGGTGTTGCCATGGGGATCTCAGGCTCCGACGTGTCCAAACAGGCGGCCGACATGATCCTGCTGGACGACAACTTCGCCTCCATCGTCACAGGAGTGGAAGAAGGTGAGATGAGGACGTGGACCCACAGACAGGAAGACGGGTGTTGCTTCTGTTGGTTTGTTATAACAACATTTCTGTGATCGAACCGTCTCCTCCTCCGTCTCCTCAGGTCGTCTGATCTTCGACAACCTGAAGAAGTCCATCGCCTACACACTGACCAGCAACATTCCAGAAATCACACCCTTCCTCTTCTTCATCATCGCCAACATCCCTCTGCCGCTGGGAACCATCACCATCCTCTGCATCGACCTGGGCACTGACATGGTGACCTTTGACCCCAGCCTCTGTGTTTGTTCCATCGTTACGGCCTGACGTGGCGGTTCTAAGGTTCTCCTTGTCTCCAGGTTCCTGCCATCTCTCTGGCCTACGAAGCAGCTGAGAGTGACATCATGAAGCGTCAGCCCAGGAACCCCTTCAGAGACAAGCTGGTCAACGAGAGGCTCATCAGCATCGCCTACGGACAGATTGGTAGGTGGAGGTGGAGACCCCCCCCCCCCCACCCCCCCCCCCCCCCCCGACAGAAAGGGGGGAGTTGTGGAATGAAGTTTTAGTCTCAGTTTGACTGACAGTGATTCTGTGTTAAAGTCTCCCTCCTCACCCCTCCCCTTCATGACAGTCAGTGGACTGGTCAGTGGACTGGTCAGTGGACTGGTCTGTGGACCGGTCTGTGGTCTTGGTGAAGATGAACTTTAGAACCGTGTTCCCTGCCGTTGTTCTCCAGGGATGATCCAGGCTCTGGGAGGATTCTTCGCCTACTTTGTCATCCTGGCTGAGAACGGTTTCCTGCCCTCCTACCTCGTGGGCCTCAGGCTGAACTGGGACGACCGCTCGCTCAACGACCTAGAAGACAGCTACGGACAAGAATGGGTCAGTCGTCACGTTTTTAGGAGCATACTGCCACCTACTGTAGTGGAGTGTGTGGTGTCATGGTCATGACCGGTGACTGGTTTTTAACCCAATGACAGTTGTCAGTGATTTATATCAATTTCTAACCCATTCCCGACACATCGTTACCCCCTGGTGGTGATAATGGAAATGACAGTTCACCACATTCAAATATAATTACAGTTGATTCTGTGATAACCAGATGATTAAATCACGTGGTATGGTGCACTTCACTGAGTGACCTGCAGTGGGACGGTGGTGCCACCCGTGTCATGACTCTGACCTTTGACCTCTGCAGACGTACGAGCAGAGGAAGATCGTGGAGTTCACCTGTCACACGGCGTTCTTCGTCAGCATCGTGGTGGTGCAGTGGGCCGACGTCATCATCTGTAAGACCAGACGGAACTCTGTGTTCCAGCAGGGCATGAAGTGAGTCTGTGGTTATTATGGGCTGTTTGACCAGCAGCAGATGGAGAACGGTTCTCACACCTCCCCTCCCTCCCCCTCCCCTCCCTCACTCCCCCTCTTTCTGTCCAGGAACAAAATCCTGATCTTCGGCCTGTTTGAGGAGACCGCTCTGGCCGCCTTCCTGTCCTACTGTCCAGGGATGGACGTGGCCCTCAGGATGTACCCTCTAAAGTGAGGACATGAGTCCAGCCCCCCCTCCCTCCCCCACATCAGTGTTGTCT